GGAACCTGACCAGAAAATGGATTGTGACAATCTTTGACAGAAGTGTGTGCAAGCTTTATGGGGCAGGTTTGGGTATGCTGGTGAGGAGTTTATAGACTCTAACCATTTTTATCAGGACCATGGAAGGTCATGCTATTCAGCTGATATGTGGGGATGATTTTCCTCCATTTTACACATTTTTTCTTATGGACTATCTCTGCATTAGAAAAGAACATTTTGTGCTTAAAAGCACTTAAACACGTTTTTAAAAGGGTGCTTTCCTGTTATGGATAGCAATGCTGAGGTAGGCATCTGCATTTCTAGGTGCTGGAATTGCTGATTATGGAGACGAGAAAAATGAGTATCTCTGCTATTAACATTTTCAGACTATGTGTATTCTGTTGCCACAAGATAAGCCTGTGCCATTCCCAGAGTTAGTTAAATAACCTCTGAAACTCTGTCCATGCGAGAGAGCAAGCATGAAGGGCCATGCCATGTTTTAAGGAACCCAAAGCATTATATTTCATCTGGAGGTCCAGCCCGAAATAAAAATCATCAGACATTTGAAAGAGCGAAAAAAATTGCCATTATTTTGCCTCAGTTGCATAAAAATGGGGAGGAGTGAGAGCAAGAAGCTCTGCGGGCTTGCATCTGAGACCATTGCAGCTCCAGTGGCTTGGCGTTGCCATGGGGAGAGCTGGGCCTGCCTGGGCAGGGAGCCCATCAGCTGTCAATAAGCTGTGACCTGGCGTTTGTTGACTATAGAAACCCGGGGAGAAGGAGCCATTTTCTGCTGGATCTGGAGAAGGAGGCCCGAGCTTTTCCTGCTGTGGAGGGCGACAGCTGTGAAACAGTCAGCGAGGTATGGGATGGGGCAGTACTTGATGAAAGTACAGTGATGAAAGCATTGAATAGCTTCAAATGCACCTGGCTGCCAACAGAGCCCAGAATCTCTTCTCTGTTCCATTTTCTGGGGAACGAGGGATTGGGGGGAAGGGGAAAACTGCTAAAGCTGCTCCTGTCAGCAGCTCAGCAGGGAAGTGCAGGAGGTCAACACATGCCTTTATTTGTTGGCACGTTCAGTCTGAAGCAGTTGTCAACCACATGAGGTAAGTCTTCAAAGTAATCCACAGTAATAAGTGGTGATGTAGAAACCACAATGATGAAGGGAACCTTGTGCATAAGTGCTGGCACAGCCCAGGTCCCAGGAGGTTCAGGTCAGTGGGATCTGAACGCTTCCCTTCTTACACTCTAAAGAAGTGCTGGCTTTGGACTCCATAAACATCATCTATTTGGAGAAAGTGCAGTGGTTAGAGCAGTCTTTTTATAAGAACAGTATGTTTTGGCTTCGTGAGTGCTTGCTGTACTCTTTTACAGATCCTCGTTTTTGATTTATATCTTGAGCGTTCTTGTTTCTCTTCTCAGATGAAGGCTATATATTCCTTTTCATTTTATAAATGTTTTGAATCTAGCTATAAAGGGCAACACATGAAAACACACAGTAATGCCCCCAGAAAGATGAATTGGTTTATTAACTCAAAATCTTGGCTCTTTTTTGCTGAGTTGCACAAAACTTGTCACAGAGAGAATTATCACTGACAACAGGTTTGGTTGGTATTTTAATCTAGGGCCATATTTTGTGGCTAAACAGTACAGAAATTAGACAAACTATGAAGGTCAAGCAGTATAATTAAAAATACAGAGCAGCAAATTGTATCCAGTAATAACTCACTTTCCTGCTGCTAATGAAATATGCTAGCACAAATTAATGGCTTGTTACTTAAGCCTGCTGGAAAGACTTCGTCCCAGTACAGAAGGCATTCAGCCTGAAAATGTGTGCATAACAATCTTCTAACCAGCAAACGAGAGGTTGGACATAGCTATAAATCCAGCGTGTTCTGGGAATAGAAACTGGCAAAAACACTCTTCACAAAATATCAAGGCAGGATCTCACTGGGATTTGGACGGCGGCTGATGTAACAGAGTGCAGATGTTTATGTGGACTGAAAGACATTCCCAGAATAAGAATATCATACAAACACATGCTGATTTTTACAGCAGAAAAACAAGGAAGTGGGGATAATAGAGCATATGTTCTTATTTCTGATGAAGCATTTGTTGTTTTGCTCAGTGTGCCCGTACTGGCAAGGCAGCCTCTGCGGGGTCTGCAAGTCGTTTGGGTTGTGAGTCTGGGCCTGACCAAATGTGAAGACCTTTCCTCTGATTTCTAGGGAACTTGTGTTAACTCTTCATGGTGACAGAAGTACTGTGTAAGTATAGGGCTGCTGATGGACTGTGGATCCTATGCGTGACACTGCATGCAAACTTTTGTCCGGCCGCTTTCATGACAGCCTCTCATGCTTTAGCCTAAGTGTGGATCCCCTTTCCAAAACCACTCTCATCTCGCTTTCCCATGAAGAGTAGTCTCACTGACCCAAAACTAGGAGACAGGATCTCACTGGTCTGTTGTTGAAGAAGAATAATGGAATATTGTCAGGCCTTATGGCTTATTGAGTCCTTTCCTTTATTACCATACAACTCCTCATTCTCCAATTTTCTTCAAAGACCTAGAGGGTTATATATGAAACTAAGCAGGCTGTTTGTCATACTCAAACTCTCTTCTCATATTCATATTCACTTCTTATACAGTTGTACTTTTCTGATGCTCAAGATATATATTTTTTGTAAGTGGAGTTTATTTATGGCCAGATTTACTATTTTGCCAGAAGTTTTGCTTTATCTGGTGAAGTGGCAATTTATTTTCCCACTGCTTCACTTCCTTCAGCCAATTCAACCTTATTTCCATTTTCACTATTGTAGCCCATTCAGAAAAATCTGAACAAAGTAATTCCCATTAGTTTACAGCCATATCTGAATGATCTTCATCTGAGTTCCGCTGCCTTCAGAGTGGCTTCTTCCCTCTTGCTTCATTCTTTTTTAATAGCTGTAGGATAGCCTGCTTTTTATTTTTGTTAGCAATGTTTAGCTTAACTGGTATTTTTTCTTTAGCTCCAGGCTGCCCAGTGCTCCCATTTTTTTCTTTTTCTGCTTTCATTCTCTACTTATGCTCAATAACTCATCGGTTGGCTTATCACCCTTGCTTACAAACCCTTCCCCTGTCTTTTGAGTACAAGTTTTGGTTAGCTTTTTACCACTGATTTAAAGATTCTCTAGTTTCTCTAGTGTTAAAATCTTTAGGGATATTTGTTGAATTTGACTTTTCTAATTATATTTGTTAATTTCTTTAAATTTGTCCTTCTGAACTTGATATACAGGTCTGTTTTATTGTTCTGTTATAACCTAGATTATGGTCTCTAATATTTTCACTGCTTACTTAAAAAGTCACAACTCTCATTTTAGCTCAGTGACTGTTTGAAGGCATTTGTAAAGCATGGCAAACTTTATTTTTTAGTACTACTCTAGTAAAAATCTTTATCTTCATTCTTTAAATTAAGTAAATCTAATGCAAATAAATTCTCTTTAACTTGTGCTGGCTATTCTTAAGTATAAATTCATTAAAATACCAGACTATCCTATCACATTTACCATAAATTCAGTCTTTCCAAAATATCTCACAACCTGCTGCAAAAGAGTGATTACTCTTTTGCCTTTTTTATATGTCTTATGTTAGAGACAGATATGAGAGTTCAGGCTCTCACCTAGTGAACTGTTGTAGTGCACAGACTGATTTCCTCCCACCCATTTTGCCCAGTTTCTTGTCCGGGTTCAGTAAAATCTTGTACTTCATTTTTTTGTCAACAGTAACACTTCCTTTCTTGCTCTTTTGCCATCCTGTCTCCTGTCATTTCTTTGTGTCCTCTTTTATCTGAATTTCCTCTTCTTTCACATGTGAAGCCCAGAGATCTGAACTGTCCAGTTCCCTCCCAAGGTTTCTTAGTTTGCAACTCTTATTATCAGGCCAGTCCAGTGGCAAGAGATGAAATTTACCCTAGGTGTTAGGATACCATCAACCAAGGAGGTACAAGGACCAATAAAGTACATACTACACTTGTGTTTGGCCTTGTGGCTGCCTCTTGTGCTTTAAATTAGACATTGTAAGTCTAGTGATCTGACTAAGTTCGCTAGCTATTTTATTTTCAGTGGGTTTTTGTTTCTTTGTTGTTGTTTTAAGAAAAAGGCAGAAACCATACGCCCACATCTGCCAAACAGATTCTGCAGACCACTGAAAAACTGATGGTAGAGAGCATTGCTCAGAAGCTGGCTACGAGTAACTTACCTCTTCCTTCCCTTTGCTCTCAAGAAAGAAAACTCAAGTCTTTCTGCAAAGATTTGTTTCTTCCTTTAAAAAGACAACTTTTTTTTTTTTTTTAATTGATGATGCACTTGACAAGTGAGCAGAATGACTGTAATTCCAGATGTGAAGAGAGCACAAACACTCCAGAAATTCTCACAAATCAAGTGATTTTGCATCACAACTGAGTGGTAAAAGTGGATTATTTATAGACAGTACAGTTGTCAAAAAGTGGCATTTCTTTCAAGTTCTTTAAATTTTGGTCTATTTAAATAGTAGTTTTGAGTGAGAGAAACTGGGAGAACAGATCTTGAGTGTCAGTATATTTTGTTCCTGAAAAAAATTAAAGCAAAAAGTTTCAATTATTTTCTTGTAAGAGATTTTGAAACTTCGAATTTCATGTTTGATTACCTAAGCTTTCTAGAGTGCCCCTGACAAACTAAATGAAGAAAGGAGGGGATATCATTTGTTAGTGAAATGCAGGGGGATGGCGTTCTTGAAAAATTTTGGCCCATTATGGTTCCCTCCTGTTTTCCTCAGGCTAGCAATCAAAATGGGAAAAATCACTTTCACCCTGTTCTGTTCCAGCTATTAAAGAAAATTCCTCTCATTAAAGGAAATGCTGAATAATTAGCTCTTTAATGAATATTCTATGTGTTGTTTATATATACCTTATATATAGATATCTATAGGACTGGAAATTTATGCTATTTACATGAACAGTTCTGGTCCAGAGTTCACAGCTGATTTATTCTTGAGAAGGAGCAAGATGGATGAAGTATACCACATCTCTTCTACTGAGAAGGTCCAGCAGCTGGAAAGAGAACTAGCAGCACAGCTGGCAGAGCTGAAGGCACAAATAGAAGACAATGGGGTACTTCAGGGAACACCAAACAGGGCATACAGGTACCAATAGTTTCCTGGGGAATGAGGGAGAGAGTGAGATTGTAGCAATGCATTGTCCTCTCCTCACTGCAAATGAATGTCATGTGTCTAAATATTCATTTTAGAAGCCTGAAGGCCCCTGTGGGAGCCAGGAATAGCAGCTTTTTCATTGTGAGTCTGCCCCAGTGTTGCAGCCGAAATGGAAGAGAATGTGAAAACATAAACTAAATCCCATTTCATGTCATGTATTGCAAACAAAACGTTCAATCTCCTTAGCACGTCAAGTATTTCCTCCTTATGGTGAAGAGGAAGTAGCTTTAAATATTATGCTGGGATGTCTAAACAGAATGGTTGCAAGTAAGACAGCTGCTCTTGCTCTCCTCAGCCATGATGAGATATTAGATGTGACAATGCATCCACGTTTGGCTTCAGGAAAGCTGTAGACCACCTAGAGAATATTTGGAGGAAAACAGAGGTCAAGAAAGTTTGACTAAGACACTTAAGACAAAAAGGAAAGCAGCTGGACTTGTGTCTCCACTGAGTTTTGTCTGGATTATAAATCTTCAGACACATGGGAGAATTCCTGTAAAGATGAGGGGAATAAATTCCTGTTTCCTCTTACGAATAGAACAGAAATCATGGGCTAAAATTCAAACATTCCCAAGAGAGTATTAATTAAACACTGATGTCTAGGTGAGGAGTTTGCTCTATCATGATTAGAAGCCTTTAAGAAAAAGACTGATGAACACCTGTAAGCAATAAATATGCTTTTCCTGCCTTAGAGCAGTGGGAGGGCTTGGTGATCACAAAATCCTCCACAGCCCAACATTGTTGTGGTTCTAAACTTTTCCATTTGCACCTGTCGAGTATTTTTTTTTGGCCAAGATTCAGAAGATGTTTTTACTGATCCAGTTTTCATCTGTGTTTTTAATTTACATGCATTCATTTTTGTACGTTTAACAAAAAATTTGCAGTGTGTACTTGCTATAAGTATGTAGACACGTGAGAATTAGAACAGTTTTCTTCCAGAATTTTTCACAGCTCCTTGTCATGCAGGCATCTTAGGAAGGAAGCTGGCTAAATGATGAAGGATGATTGTCAGGGAACTCTGCTACATAGCTGTGGGCTGTCACATGTACCCAGAGAATTGATAAGCATTCAGATGGATTATTAAAAGGCTTTGACTTAAAAATTAATAAATAAAAATTAAAAAATCTTCTAATTAATCCAATCATACTGCTTGAATGTAAGTTTTTATGCCATTAAACTTTCTTACTGTTGATCTTGCCATTTGAGTTGTGTTGTGCCTGACCAATATTTGCTTTCCACCAGTTTGCATGTAACATCTTGCTGAACCACTTTTTTCCTTGCAGTTCTGTTCCAGTTCCAAAAGATGCAACTTATTTCAGAATAGAAAGAGAGAGAATACTGAAGAGAGTCTTACAGGTAGGTAGCTAAAGCCTAAATCAGCTTAAAAAATTCTCTTTGCTCTTAGAATCATAGAACAGTTTGAGTTGGAAGGGACCTTTGAAGGCCATATAGTTCAACTCCTCTGCAATGAACAGGGACACCCACAGTTAGATCAGGGTGCTCAGAGCCTCGTCCAGCCTAGCACTGAATGTAGCCAAAGATGGGGCATCTGCCACCTCTCTGGGCAACCTGTTCCAGTGCCTCACCACCCTTACTATGAGAAAAACTTCTTTCTTACATCCAACCTAAATCTCCTTTCTTTTAGTTTGAAACAATTTCCCCTTATCTTATTACAACAGACCCTCCTAAAGAGTCTGTTCCTGTTGTTATAGGCCTTTACCAAGTAGTAACTCAAAGTAGTAGTAATTCAAATTGCAGAAATGGATATGTTTTGTGAAATGAAGAACAGTCTGAGCCTGTAGCATTTGTTTATGTGATAATGCCTAATAAAAGACTTCTCTTTATTTAACACTATTTATTTTCAATGGCCTGAGAAGGAGATCTGTTCACCACCCGCTGTTTGCAGGTGGCAGAAGCGAAGCCCCTTGTTATTCAGGCTGATGTCATGCAGAGGGAGTTAGAGAGCTGCTGGACAAGGGAGTACGCAGCAACAACCTTGCCGCTGCTGCTGCACCAGGTGGGTTCGTGCTCGCTGCATAGCTCGGGGAGGCTTCCCCCAGCCCTGCAGGCTGCACTGTGATGTTAAAATAGGAATGGTGTGCAGCTCCTGCCTGAAAACAGGCACGAAAGCGTTGTATTTGCTGTATAAAACACTTCCTTCTATGATGTGAAAAATGCTGCTCTTCGCTTCTTTGAAGAATGGGAATCTCAGTCAAATCAGATGGGTAGGAGCAATGTTCATGTATTCCCCTGATGCTTTTGCTCTATTCTATTACAACAGTGTTGTGGATTATTTTTATTCCCTTTTTTAAAATAGAGAAATAGTGCTCAAATTGCTACGTCCAATGGATTGAATTCTGCCATCTTCCTTAAGTGCTTTCTTCATTCCCATGATAACACTTTTTTCTTCTTTTTTTTTTCCTTTTTTTTCTTCTCACTAGAACAACTTCTACTTCATAGTATAAATGTATACAATATTTATATTGTGAATAATAAATATAAATCACTGTTTTTGGTGACTAATTACCTATTCTTTTGGTGTTACTCTCTGATGCCAATGATGATCTATAAACTGCTTAAGCTTCCTGTGGTGCTAAACAGCTGTTTTTTTGTTTGTTTGTTTGTTTTTACTAATATATGGTATGTTTGTTATTTTTTATTTTATTCAAGTTTTTTACAGACAGAATCACTCAGCTAGTCCAGAGTAAATATTTGCACATGCTCAGATGGAAAAGATTTTGCACGCACAGCAGTGTTATTGAGCAGCTTTATCCTCTCTATCAGGTAGGATCCCAAATCCAACATCTAACAGGAGTTAACAATGGCTTTCTTTTCATCCAAAGGAAGAACTACTAACATTAAGGATAATGTATAAAACTTGGAAGTCTTTAGATTTTATTATCTGTTACAGCAGCATCTGTAGCACAGATTAATATGGTTTCAAGCACTGCAACACTTATCTGGAATATTACTCCCATCCCTCCTTACACCTGACAGTACATAATACAATTATATATATATTAGGCATTTAATTCTGTTTAACTTAAGGTGCTATGGTTTATTGAACAAATGTGAACAAAAGGAAGATAGGTTTTAACTTTTTACGTCTACTTTTTTTGTTCTTATTTGTTGTAAAAGCAGTCTTTTTTTTTTTTTTTTTTTTTTAAGTTCAGTACCATTGATATCCCAGAATAAGCAGCTTTTTCTGCAAATAAACTGAGTTCTCTTACAGCTGAATATGTTTTTCTCTCTTCAGACATGAATAAATGTCAAGCAGAATAGTTTACGTAACTGTCTTGCCACTATTCTTTAGAGTTGTAATTCACACTCGTTGATTAAATCTTCTATTAAATCATCCATTTGTCTGTATTGTCAGTGACTGTATTTTCTATTGGGCATGGTTGTGTCAGCATTTTCAGTAAAACTTTCACTCTTTAGGTGGTTTGAGCTTTCTAGAGGTCATAATTGCAGGGGATCGTGGTGGTAGAGCTTGGTAACGAAGACAATAAAGAGATTCACCACTTTCCCACATGAACTTAATGCCAAGAAGCAGAACTGCCGCTTGCTATTTGGGAAATGTGTGAGCTGAGGCTAGGAGAGAGAGAAAAGATTCTCTGATGTAAGCAGGAAAGTGGCAAATGGCTGTGTGCGTTGATTACTAGGCCCTGTGCTATTAACACTACCATGGTAACTCATGCCATTATTGATAGTTCAGTAAAAGGAAAATGTTGTGTAGAAGATGGTCAAAGTGCATTTCCAGTTCCTGGCCAGTTCCAGATTGACTCTAATCAGCATAGATGAGCATTTAGATGTGTGGTTCCCTAATGGGAAGTTTTCTTACAAGGTCAGCAATATGTGCTTCTAAAAAATTGCACTTCTGCTCAGTCTTTTAAAGGAGCAAGTTGAGGAAACTAGGCATTTGTATTTGAAAAGTCTTCAGGTAGTGCCTTCTCTGGTCCTACTTGAAGAGTCTGACTTATTTTAGTGGATAGGACATGAGAAGATCACTACACGTTCTTCACTGTTATTAATCTGTCTGCATTCACACTGATGTCTTGTTATACTCTCATACTGTCTGCTCATGGTCAGTATTAGACATTCAGAAATATTCACTATTTAAACTGAAATTCACTTTAGTCCTTTGGAAATATAGTTCTTCAGCATTTAGGATGCAAATAAACCTTAGAGGCTACTTTCAAACTGAGATTTCTTAAGGAATGCAATGACCTTCTAGCTAATAAGAGAAGAAGATGCAAGTGTGCAAAAATGATAGCGTCTCTTCTGTGTACCTAAACAGAAGCAAGTTAGTCACATCATGGATGAATACAATGATGCAGTTCAGAGGGCTGCAAGGCTTTCAGTGGCAAGGGAGAACTTCCTGACAGGAAATAAAAATGCAATGAATGTAGTGACAAAGGAAGATCTGCTGATTTACACCCAATGGTTAGTGTGCCACCTACACTCTGTGAAGGGCATTCACCGTTTTCTCCAGGTAAGATGAGCATTTTGAGCAGTAAAATGTAATTATACAACATTCAAACCTTAGTAAACTGAGGAAGATAAAAGTCAGTGCAAAATCTAAGGGTTTGATGGTACTAAGCCAGACTGCATACATTTGACTTTCAATTCTTTTAGCACAATGATTTTGCTGGAAAGGAAATATGTAAATTTAGCTTTGTAATCGTTGTAAGTGAAATAACGAGTTCCCTGGCTGCAGAGTAGACGGTGCTGGGCTGTGTGGATTTAAGGAGATCCAGAATGAGAAGAAAACTTGATTTTTTTTTTTTCCATACTTGTTACTGTGGTGATGTTTTGATAGAGCAGAATGTTATGAAAGGGTTGAGTCATCTTGATGAATAGTCTGTAGATTTGAGGATTATTTGTTTAAGTATCACCCTTTGAAGACAAATATGAACACATCCTTATTTTATATAGTTGCTTTAATATTTTATTACATGAGTGCTACAAGTCATCGACAGTGAATGATCTTCTAAATTCATATACAATAGATAATTATGATTTTCTTTCTCTTTCTTGTGTTTAATTTTATTATTTATTTTGCAGCTGAATAATTGCATGGCTTCTAGCTGACTGAGAATAACAACAAACATGTTTTTAACTCCAGGTTCTCCAGCATTTGCCTGTTTCTCACAAACTGAGTGTGGTTGATGAGAAATGTCCTGACGTGATCCAAGACAAATGGGACAAATTAAGGAGTGCCTTTGACAGACATTCAGATGTTTTTAATACTGATGTGTTTTGCTGTTCAAAATTTTTAAGAAATGGTGAGAAATGGTCAGCTTTCCTTTAGAAATCCTATGGATAATGCATTTGTTTATGTATATTCTTCAAGACTGGTCAACAGTGCAAATCTGGGAAACATTGAGTGCTGTGTTTGGGTTGTATGCTTGAAAAATTTGGAGTGTGGCTTCTACAGTCAGCAAGAATCCTGGAAACCTGGTGTCCAAATTCCAAGGGGTGCAGCCTTGAATTTGCGGCAGTCACTCCTCTGGCCTTGCTGTGCACTGGGCTGCAGAAACAGGCAGTTTAGAAGAATGCTTGTGGGATCGGCTCAGTGGAGAATTCAGGATGTTGTCCTGATTATGCCAAGCCCTGAAACTCACCCTTTTAACTTTCTGCAAAAATATTATTCAAAATATTTCAGTGGGTGGCTGGTTTCTGGAGAAACTAAAACAAGAAGAGAAATGTTGTTTCAAGACACATAATGAGGTATCTCCAGAAAAATCTCCTTGTGGTCAGTTTCAAGTTCCCTTTCCTTTTGGAGGAAGGGAGGGAGTGATACTGCTTGTATGGAGTTATCCATGTGAACAGCACTTAAGGCAGCATTCCTGTTGCAGAGTATTTGACTCCAGTGGTTAATTCTGTGCTTTTACTGAGTGGGAATGATGTCGCACTGCAGGATGTCATGGAATGGGCTTGGAAAAATGCAGCCCTGGCTTCTATTCCGGGGATGAGGCACGCTGTTTGCCTCCTTGAACTCACAAAGAGCAGAGTGGAGGAACAAAGAGGGGCTGTGACTTGCCCTCCCTCTTCTTTCTGTCCACTGTAAACTTCTACCGCAGAATGTGGGCCTGTAGGTCTGCAGGGGCCTAGAAGTGGCACCTGAGGGAGAGCAACGTTGTAGGGGATGTGATGGAGCATAACAATAAGGAAATGTACATTTACCTGGGAAGGATAAGGGACCTTCAGTGCTCAGTTAGTTGTCATACTAAGGTCTAACTGGTCTTGCTGGTGCTGCCCTCTTTCACTCCTCAGCCCAAAAGCGGTGCCAGGTATGGTTCTGCTCTGCCTCAGGAGTGCAGTGGTATCAGGGTTAAGGCACAGGGAGAGGCAAGTAATGTTTCTTTCATGAGTGGGCTATGAGAGGGAGGGACAAGGAGAGGGCAGATCTCCAGTGTATACAGTTCATCTGCACCATTAATTTTGCAGAGGAACAGACAGTTACTGTTATTTAAACAGCAACTCAGAAGTGACTTAGCTCATTTTGATCTTCAGTATCTACTTATCTAATATTTGAGGTACAGTATCATATTACCATCATAAGCTCCATTCATCTTCTATCTGGATCTGAGCTTCGTAGATGAAACATCAGAATGATTAAAGAAGACATGAAAAGCAAAGATGAAGTGAAGCTAAGATGGAACAAAAGAGCAGATGGCCCTTTATTGCTGAAACAATGAGATAATAAATTAGATTACCTGTAGTTCCACTAAACCCCAAGAGTTTTGATGAACTTTAGCAAGCAGTAGCTTTCCTATTAGTATCTTTGTGTGTATAAGCAGTATCATCAGTATAGGGTAAAGGAGAATGAACTGGCACTTTTTTGGACTTTCAAAGATATTTGGAAAAAACATGGCAGATAAAATGCTACTGTTTGTTTTGGCTTGGTGTGAGATGGAAACCAGGGAGTTTGAACAGTGGTCACTTTTCTGTGGAGAAAGATGGTGGCACAGGGCAAATGGTTTCTGCATTTAAAAAAACAACAATCAATCAAACAAACAGAAACCAAAACTGTGTAAAACATTATTTTCAAAGCATTGAATAATGCTCTTTATGAAAAGATGACAAAATCTACAGGAACACAGTAGTTTTGGCTGTTCAAGAATGAAGGAATACTGATATTCTCCAAGGCCTGAACAAGGTTAAGTAGGAGAAAATATTTCAGTTTTTCTAAAAATGGGTGCTATGTCACAGACAGACTCTTCAACACATACCCTAAGCTCCTCAACCATCCCTAGTACACTCTTGTTTCAGAAGTTTGTGATAGCAGCATCATGCCAGTATCAGGTACTGGAGGAGTGATAACCCTTAAATAGCAATGTACTTGAAGTTCTTATGGCGTGACCTGGGAGGTGTGTGTGAGAGAGAAGAATGTTGTATACCCCTGAGCTATTACTTCTTGTTCAAGCAGCAGGATCTGTTACTTGGCATCCTTTCAAGGCATGCTTTCTTCCAAAGGCTGTGGAGGTGTCCTGAGCTGCAACAGCTGGTAGAATTTAAGGGTGTTGTGGAAGGCCCTTTCCTAAAAGTAAAACAAAAATCCATACAAGTGTAGATTGTTTTTCATTCTCTCTCCTGCTTATTTCTGCTTCTGGATGAAAAAATGAAATTACATCTTTGTGTGGATGCAAAGCAAGACGCACTGATAGTACTGCTTTCAGTCATGTTGCTTGAAACGTTGACATTCTCCAGCTGATTATTATTATTGCAGAATCTTGCCACAAGGACACTGGATTCATTCTGCCCTGTCACAGCACTGAAACCAAGGAGCTGAAAGCCCAGCTCCAACTTCTGCTGGCTCACTTTGATATTGACTACAACCTTAAAGATCTCAAGGACCCAGCTGATGAGATGAAGCTCTTTTATTTGGTAACTGCTTTTTGATATTTAAAAACAAAAAGTAAGAAATATCTTTAAAAGTATGGAAGAATGTTCTATTTATGATAAGTCAATGTTTTGTGTTATGGAAAAAAAGCTTGTGGGAACTTTGGATCTTTACAGAAAGCAGCAGAGAGGCCTGGATTAGTCTCATTAGGCTGTAGCAAACACCAACAGTTTTGCAGAGTTTATACTCTGTGTTATTGCTTGAGTCTGCACCTTTGCTCTCCCAGCTCAAACTTGCACCTTTTGCATGCTTTTTTTTCTGCCCCTGTGTTGTGCATCCCAGCACTGCAATACTTCCACTAGAGGTCAGCTGATGCACATCATGACACAGGCAAGCAGTGAGTAGCTCCTCAGTTCAGTAATTAACAGCAGGAAAATTCTGTTTTTGATCCATTTCACCAACCACAAGGCAAAATATCTAAACCTCCGTCTTTTGTTCAGTGCCCAAAAAAGATGTGTAGATGTAAATAACGTTGTTTTTAAATACTTGCCTTGTCTTATAAATTGTGGCCTGTAGTAGTGCTGGTGGTACAGAGTTGGTT